TACAGTGAACATACACTGGCGAGAAAGAAAGGAACGAGCGTGATCATTGAAGTTCAGTCTTGGAAGAGCATGTCACACAGGTGCAAAAGATTTGATTTCATCAATGTGTGAGTTCAAGCATAGGAACAGTGGTTGCAGTCACAGGTCTCAGAAGCATTCAAATAGAAGCTTCCCGATAGAACTTTTTTGGGCACCAAGCCCACACAATTTCAATAATGTGTATGTGCATAGACCAGGTGTACCTCAACGAGCACAATATCTCACTTTGATGGAACAAATGTCCACCCAACTTTCCGACAAACAACTATACTATATGTTATCACGTTTTTTCTAAAAAGAACCTCTGCCATGTTCCTAAAGTATGTTCGTGGCAAGAAGCACTTGCCAGAGGACACTAACAAGCGATATCTAAACTATTGACGTTGTCCAGCACGTTTCTTCTTCATGAGCCTTTGGCTTCAAACATGCATAACAGATTTCCCGTAAAGAATGCACAGTTTTGTCATTGAGGATACGACGTGTTTTGCTCAAAACCAACGAGTTTCAAACGATCACATGGAACATGTAGCTAACCCCGGCAACCCCTAGTGCAACCCCTCAAGATGGTTGTTTTTGAGGCAAAACATCACCCTCAACGATGAAGCCAAATTCCCCTGAAGAATGCAGCATGTTCAACAGTAACAGGCACTGAAGTGTACATATCAGGTGTAACAGGCTGAACGACTGCACTGCCAGGGCTCGATGCTTCATGTGCCTATCATCGCGCCATAATAGGGGACACTCCACATGGAACCTGCCAGTGGCAAGGTCCTGGAGAGCATGAAGAAGATTCACCAAGGATGGAAAGCCACGAGCTTAGAGTGTCGATCGAATTCCGTTCGAAAACCACCTCGTGTTTACGATGCAGATTTGCAGAACAAGTCCGCATCTGTTTAAATGGAACCATCTCAACATGGCACACCAGAGTGCTCCAGTTTCACGTAGAGAATCCTAGAGACAACCCACAAGATCAGAAGAGTTGGACGACAAACAGAGAAAGCAACCGACCAAAACCGCAATCGACCAACAAAAGCGATTGGACCCCCATTCCTTCAAGTGGACCGTATGCCTGTCATGCAATAGCCCAGTAGGCCCGCGGAATAGACTCAAAAGTATGGCCGAGCAGTGCATCGGTGAAACCACTTCTGCTCTGTTGCACGAATTTCAGCACTCCTGCCCAGCATTTGGAATTTGTGTCCCTTGCCCAGAACGCAGACACTCGCAGTTGTGCCACTTTGCACTCAGGCAAAACAATTTGGGAAAGAAATCTTCAAGGCGCAGCAGAGTGTGTTTCTCCGCTTCCCTTTTTCTTGTTCAGACCGTTCTTTTCCTTTTTGTTTAAACCACTGTTCTTTTTGTTTTTCTCGTCTTTATCACATGCTTTTTTACATGACAAACATGTGTTTGGAAAAAACAATGCAGAAGACTGTGTTTGTTTGCCTTCGTCGTCGCTCGCAGCCGTATTTTGTCGGTCAGGTCGAACAGCCCAAACTTCAGGACGTGGCAAACAAGACCTTGGCGTCAACACTCGGAAACAATGAGATCTACTGAGTGGATGAAGGTCGAACCTTCCACAACTCGTCGAACCCTCAAGACAACAGGGGTATCACTGATACCTTAGCACACGGCCTATGTCGACATGAAAAGCATTGTGTTTGAGCACCTCAGAACTTCATGGCTATGATTCAACATGTTTCTTGCTGGTCTTGTTGAAACTTCCGTTCATAGACAAACACAAACAGCTGACAATTAAGAACCAAGGGATGCCTATTGTGAATCCGAGACTTCAAACGGCCTCAGTTTCGCGGCCGACACGTGGCCCTTGCTTCGGCTCAAAGTGTCGAATGAATTGGTCGCGCTCCACGAGATCTTCCGAGTCCGAGAAGGGCATCGATACGGAAAGCAAGAACTAATAGCTTCTTGTTACTACTAGTAAGGCACCTGTTACTACTAGCGTGGCACTTGTTACTACTAACGATTCGATGTGGTTTTGCAAATAGAAAGGCCCGGCTGCGCCTTGCAGCCCTACTAGCGATTCCGATGGCCTCCAACCTGATAGCGAAGATCAATTATGCATGCCACGTGCCCATTAGCTCCACAATGAAAGGACTCAGGCCCCCAGCAACAGAAGGCAACCTGCACAGCAGTCGATGCGTATCAGTTTTCGCTGAAGAAATCCGTTGGTTTGCGAAAACTGAACTACCTCTGTGTTGGTGTAGCGGACATGCACGTGTCCGTTTGCTGGCGGAAAAGATAAGCAAGTGGTTCTGGGATGTTCTGGGCATCAGGGTTGTTGAATTTGATGCTTCCAGCCCTGATGGCACTGATGCTACACATATTCACTTCAGCCATTGTGGTTCAATGGCGAATGCCTTGACCATTGCAGTGCACCTGAGTAAATGAATGGCGTCCATCTCAGCTGATCCTTGAACTGGACAATGCCAAAAAGAACTTTGCGGACGTGTGCCACATTGGTAAAGCCTTGGACCCCAAACCCAGGCTCAACTTTGTGAAAGACATGCAGAGTCTTACAGTTGTCAGCACACATTTTGCTTCACGGATCAAAGCTGAAGCAAACTCTTCCCAGGCTGAGTGCCATGCCGCACTGATTGGTGGCGTCTTTGGTTGTACAGGCTTCACACAAGTTAAGCGTTCTTGCATGTTCCTGCTTTCAGTATAGCTGAGTGTGAGACTTACTCAAACCTTAGAGCGCAGGCCCACTTCTTTCACATGGCCTAGGCTGGCGGTAGTTGAAGGGACACAGATCCATTTGGAGAGAAGTTCCGTGACATTGCCTACTGCTAAGGGGTCAAGCCGATTCTTGTGAAACTTTTTGCCTGCCAGTAAGGAGTCGTCAAGTCTGGAACACACGACCAAACCTCATAGTAGGGATGACAGAACCTAATTAGCGATGGCCTCCAACCTAGTAGCAATGGCCCCAACGGCCTCCAACCTACTAGCGATGGCCTTCAACCCAATAGCGATGGCCTACACCCTAGTAGTGATGGCCTCCAACCTAATAGATTCTAATAGCAATAGCCTCCAACCCAATAGCGATGGCCTCCAACTAGCAATGGCCTCCAACGGCCTGCAACCTACTAGCGATGGCCTCCAAACTACTAGCGATGCAATGATCCCTAGTAGCGATGGCCTCCAACCTACTAGCAATGGACTCCAACCTAATAGCAATGGCCTCCACCCTAGTAGCTTGCCTCCAACCCAGTAGCAATGGCCTCCAACCCAATAGCGATGCCCTCCACCCTAGTAGCGATGGCCTCCAACCTAGCAGCAATAGCCTCCAACTTACTAGCAATGGCCTCCACCCTAATAGCGATGGCCTCCAACCTAGGAGCAATGGCAGCGATGGCCTCCAACCTAGTAGCAATTAACTCCAACCTATAGCGATGCCCTCCACCCTAGTAGCGATGGCCTCCAACCACCCTAGTGGCCTCCATCCTAGTAGCATTGGCCTCCAACCTATAGCGATGGCCTCCACCCTAGTAGCGATGACCTCCAGCCTAGTACTTACTTTTGCACTTTGGAATTTGGGATATTTTTTTGACTCTGTGAAAGGGCTGGTGTGGTCTTCCTCGAGCAATACCATTCTAGGTGCAAAATCGAGATTTCAATATAGACCTATAGAGTTTCCTGCTCAAGGGTCTAAGCAAACAGCTGTGGCAAAGTGCATTGTACAAAACAAGGCATGCAACGCCAGCCAACTTCAAGGCTTTGACGGGACCTTGTGAGAATATGATAGTTGAAGGGCAACAGGGGAATGTTAATTTCCCATGTCCAAAAATAACTTTGCAGCGCCCGCTCGAGAAAAAGGCAAGCCCCACTCGAGAACACGTTTTCCAAAGTTTGTAAACGGCACGGCTGCAATAATCAGCCTGGTTGGAGGTTCCCATGCTTGGCTGGAACCCCTGGTTGGAGCAACCTTAAGTTCAATTCAAAAGAGCATGGTCAAGTCCTAATGACACTGGAATGAGCAACTGGTTCAGCAGCTTTGCTGTTCAAGTCCTTGCCCAGGAGGTAGGCCCACAGTAAGCCAAGGCCGACCGGCCAGCTCCCTTTCCAAACTCTGACTGGGCTAGGCTAAGGCATGACGAGTGTCTGTGGGGCCTGGCCGAAGCAGCCAGAGGCCCAACTTCTCTAACTTTACTGTTTTGGCAACAGCTACGGCGGACGAGAATCATGTGCCTGAGCTTCCTACAAGGGTGACTAACAGACTACTCCTTACAAAGTTCAAGAACGTTCCCGGGGCTCGGTTGGAGCAAGATAAAAGCAGACAGTCCTAGAATTCTACAAAGTGAACAGATTTTTTCCCAACAGTCTGCTCCTTAGGAGGTTCAAGAACGTTCCCGAGGCTCGGTTGGAGCAGGCTAAAAGGCCTCTCCTTACAAGCCTGGCGTGTTTCTTTCTTCCCATGTAAAGCTCCTGTCTTGGCCGAAGCAGCCAATGACAGGCTTTGGCGCAGCATGCTCTGGCTCCTGGTCCTGACCTTAACCTAGCCCAGTTAGAGGGCAAGTTTGCAAAGGCAGCTGGCCGAAGCAGCCAGTCAGCCTTGGCTTACTGTGGGTCTAACTCCTGGGCAAGGACTTGAACAGCAAAGCTGCTGAACCAGTTGCTCAATTCAGGCAACTGGCCGAAGCAGCCAGTGGCCTCGCCTGGCCGAAGCAGCCAAAGTACTCAGCAAACCCCACTTGGGAAGGCAAGCCCATTCAGAGCCACATGGCGGCGTCAAGAAACGGAAATTAAAATTTCCAAGGCCCAAATATCTGTTCTTCCCTTCCTCGAGAAAACAGTATTGACAAATCGAGAAAATATTTTCTAGAAGTGTCAACGAAGGTGCAAATGTTCGGTTAACATGACTACAAGTTTACCTGCTAAGATGGGACTGTCCTAAATAGAGCTGAACTTGGTGATGAATTACAGTCGGACGCGACCCTACACATCGAGAAGCGTGAACAACTTTTGAGGCGGTAGCAAAACCTTCAAACAGCCAAACTTCAACCCCAATTGAAAAAACAAAAAAATCAAAAATTCCAAAGCGCAAAAGTAAGAGTAGCGATGCCCTTAATGGCCTCAAACCTAGTAGCGATGGCCTCCACCCTAGTAGCGATGGCCTCCATCCTAGTAGCGATGGCCTCCAACCTATAGCGATGGCCTCCACCCTAGTAGCGATGGCCTCCAACCACCCTAGTGGCCTCCATCCTAGTAGCATTGGCCTCCAACCTATAGCGATGGCCTCCACCCTAGTAGCGATGGCCTCGACATTTTTGCCATCCAGGCCGTGCTGCTGGTTGGAGTCCGGACAATACTGGACAGCGAGTTATCCTCCGACAGCCAGTTGGACCGCCTTGCTTGGTCCGATCAGTTGGGTGGAGCGCGTTGGTCGTTTCGGCTTTTATCAGTAGCCCAGGAGTAAGGCCAGGAGCCCCTAGTAGCGTCCTTGCTCCTAGTAGCGATGCCCTTTGTTTGCCTTACAACCCTTTTGGGATCTGGACTGGAGCCCTTTCTTGCTTCAGCTGGTCTTAATTAGGGGCAACCATTCCGAAGTATGCAGACTTAAGACTTTTTAAAGCAAACATTTGCTGGTAGTTGCGGGTAAGGCACATGCGACATTCCTAATCTAGCATCGGATAGCAGCAAACAGTCCGCGGTCCACGGGTAAAAACTGTTTACGCAGAAAGGCCTCTTGAGGCCTCTTGAAGACGTCGTGCTCACTTTTGTTTCTCAGAAGGAAAGATAGAAAAAAGAACGACATAGAAAATAATAGAACGGAACACAAGTTGTTAAAAGAAACTATAGATACTATAGATCTAAAATAGCAAGGACGCTACTAAGTGGAGGCCATCGCAAGTAGGTTGGAGGCCATCGCTACTAGGAACAAGAAGCTGCTAGTAAAAGGACATGCCGCTGAAACACTTTGTTTTTTTTGGGTCGCTCTTTGCGGGGTATCGTCGCATCGTCTCAGTTGATTGCGCTGTTCGGTGCGTTGGCCTCTTCTGCCACCGCAGCCTTCGCAGCGCTGGCGGCGCAGTCCAGCCTGTTCGGTGCGGGCGCTGGGGCTGCAGCTCAGCTCAAGACTCATCTCATTCTTTGGGACATGAAAGAGCTGAAAACATGTTCAAGCATTTTGGCATCATTGCTCTTCTTTCTTTTTCTATTGAAGTACAATTGAGATTGTTTGTCTTTAGACCTTTTCTCTTATCCTTCGTTTCTTTCTTCCTTGTCTCCTTGTTGGAGACAGAATTGACAAGCAACTCTCATGCATATCTGCATATCTGTTTATTCTGTACTATGGGCGTGCAGTACTCATTCTTTCATACAAGTACTTTCTGGCATGAATTTGGACGGAGCATGTAGACTGTGAGAATACAATGTGCAAGTTCGATTCATTTCGGTTTGCACGCTTTGCACACATTGAATACTGACCCCTCACACTCTTAGCTTGATCCTGGGGCTTTTGAGTCAATGGATGATTAAACAAAAACTGATCACTTTGCATGGAATCGAAGATAAGACATGGCCAAAGGAGGTTCATCATTCTCGCACACTTTGCACTGTGCAAGACAGGTGACGGCTTGCTTTGTCGCTGGTCTCAGCACAGCGGACATGCTCAAGAGACGCTTGGTAAATCAGATTTAAGTCTCAAACTGCGCGTCAAAGGTTGTGCGCAAGCACCGCTTGCGCTTCCTTCTCCCGACTACTTGCCAGTCTAGACTCGCCCAGCGCATTTGACGCCAAGTACCAGACCTGAACAGTGGCTTGCCACCTTTGGAGAAAACCATATCACATAATCACCACATCATGCACTTCATCGCACTGCAAATCACAAATTAAGGATCACCAACAACCTGACACCAGGCACCGCATCACCCAGAGTGTCCGAACACGGGCGTTTCCTCAGGTGAAGAGAGATCACGCCGAGTCTCCACCAATCATGTACAGATATCGACCATGTCTCAAGTCGCCGGTCAGCGCCGGTCAGCGCCTTCGGCCGGAACAAATCGAACAGCGCCTTCAATGCAGCCGCAATGCGGCATGCGGCCACAAGCGACCAGGAAAGCGTTGAAGCGACCAGGAAAGGGTTGGGCCTTTTCACTCTTGTGCAGCAAAGCTTCACGCAGGATCAATGACGGAATGTCAAGGTCAGCTGATCACCCGGAATGCGACATCCAGCGGAATGGAATGCCACAGCCAGCTCACAAAGCGAAAAGGATTCACTGTCA